ATGCATTTGCCTCTGAGTAACAGAAAACAAGATTTACTGGCTTCAACAGATAGAGATTTAACAAAAATCCAGAGATGTGTGATTGGTGGTGTTGGGTTTGGACATTAAGTTACGGAACAAATGGGGGGAAAAGAGTGAAAAAGAAGCAGTGCTAGCTGTCTGTTCCCTTTTACTAAGAAAAGCTTCTCTGGAAATCCTCAAATTTGACTTTCTCTTAGGTCTCATTGCTCAGAACTGGGTCATATGACCATGTTGGCTGCAATGGATGGCCAAAATATGTATGTCAGAAAGTGTCTTTATTTTGTCTTGTTTTTGAAATCTATATATTTGGGGAAAAGAATTCTAGATTGATGGTTTTTTCTTTGAGTACTTTATTTTTTTAACGATTTTATTTATTTGAGAAAGAGAGAGGGAGAAGCAGGCTCCCCACTGAGCAGCCGATCCCAGGCCCCCAGGATCATGAGCCAAAAGCAGCCGCTTAACCGACTGAGCCACCCAGACGCCCTCTTTGAGTACTTTAAAGATGCTGCTTTCCTGATTTCTTGTTTGCAAATTTCTGATAAGAAAACTGTCCTCATTTTATCTTTGTTCCTTTGCATAGTGATGTATATTTTTTTCTCTCTGCTTTTAAGGTTTTCACTTTACCACTGGTTTTAAGCAATTTAATTGTGATGTTCCTTGGTATAGTTTTCTTCATTTTTCTACTGAAGAGTTTGTTGGGCTTCTTGGATTTGCGAGTTTATAGTTTTTTATCAAGTTCAGGAAGTTTTCAGGTACTATTTCTTCAACTGTTTTTTCTGTCTTCCCTGACCCCTCCTCGTTCCCATATTTCTTCTGTCCTTCAGGGACTTCAGTTATGTGTATGTTAAGCTCACTGATACTCTGTTTATATTTTCAGGCTTTTTATTCCCTCTGTATTTCATTTTGGAGAGTTTCTGTTGCAATGTTTTCAGGTTCTTTAACCTTTTTCTCCCCCAGTAATGCTTAATCTGCTGTTAGTCCCATAGAAGTGTAGGGTGTGTGTGTTAAAAATCTCAGACAGTGTTGGGGCACCTGGGTGGCTCAGTCGTTAAGCGTCTGCCTTTGGCTGGGGTTATGATCCCAGGGTCCTGGGATCGAGCCCTGCATTGGGCTCCCTGCTCTGTGGGAAGCCTGCTTCTCCCTCTCCCACTCCCCCTGCTTGTGTTCCCTCTCTCGCTGTGTCTCTCTCTGTCAAATAAACAAATAAAATCTTTTTAAAAAATCTCAGACAATGTTTTTATGATTTCTAGGTATTTACTTTTTAGGTCTTTTTAAGGATTTTCCATATCTCTACTTCCTTGGCCATATAGAATACAGTTATAATTGTTTTTTAATGTCCTAGTTTACTAATTCTATAATTTCTGTGACTCAGTTGATTCATTTTTCTTTTTTTTTAAACTTTATTTATTTATTTGAGAGAAAGAGAGCAAGAGTGGGGCGAGGGGCAAAGGGAGAGGGATAAGCAGACACCCCGCTGAGCAGGGAGCCCGATGTGGGGATCAATCCCAGGACTCCAGGGTCATGACCCGAGCCGAAGGCAGACACTTAACCAACTGAACCACCCAGGTGCCCCTCTGTTACTCTTTCAATTGATTGATTTTTCTCCTTATATGGGCCATTTTTTCCCTACATTTTTTTTTGTATGTCTGATCATTTTTGATTGGATGTCAGACATTGTGAATTTTATCTTATTGGGTGGTAGATATCTCTGATTTCCTATAAGCACTGTTGTACTGGTTTTGGGATAGTTTGTTCTTGGAAACAGTTTGGTCCTTTTGGTGCTGGCTTTTAGGATTTGTTCGGTAGGACCAGAGCAGCATTTACTCTATGGTTATTTTTACCCCACTACTGAGACAAGACCTATTGAGTCATGAATTACGAGGTTTCTGATCTGGGTGCCAGGATCAGGTCCTATTCCTGGTCCTATATAATCACTGGGTATCTTTCCACTCTGATTTGTGGGAACAGGAACAACTTCCTGCCCTGTGCAAGCTTTGATGATTGTTCTCGCTCTCTTTCTAGGTGGCTCTTTCCCTGGCCATGGGTTGCTTCCTCACGCTCACATGCTAATCAGCTGAAGACTGGAACAAGGCCTTTTGTAGGTCTCCAGAGCTCCTCTTTCACTGTATAGTTCTCTTCTCTCCAGCACTCAACTCCCAGCTCCCACTGTTTCAGCTTTCCCGGTCTCCCAGTTCTATCTCCTCAACTCAGGGAGTCTGTCTAGCTCTTCCTTGATCCCCCTCTCTACACTGCTGCCTGGCAGCTCTCTTAGGCAGTAAGCAGAGGCAATCAGAGGCAACCACCTCATTCGTCTGCTCTCCCTATGGACCACTGTTCCGCAATGCTGCCTATTTATTTAATTAATTTATTTAGTTGTTTTAGTAGGAGAGTAAATTCAGTCAATGTTGTTCCATCTTGGCTGGCTAGACTGGATTACTATAGATTATTGTTGTTCTGTTGATAAAACAGATTGCCGTGTCAGCTGTTTCCCAAAGAATTCTCATTATGTAACCTGAAATACCTTACACTGCAATCCACATCTCCTGCAAGTACAGTACATCCTTGGGCGATGGGTGTTACAGAAGAGTTGCCTACAAATAAACTCTGTGTAAGAAAATCTGATTTTTCCCTCTGGCTTCCATTTTCATTCCTGCAATACTCTCTCTGCTTCATTTCTCATCACTTTCTCTTTAGCAATGACTTCAAACCCTGAGACTTTCCTTTGTTTTCTCCTCTCCTTGTTTTTGTTTTGTTTTGTTTTTCTTTCTTTTTGGTCAGGGACCAACAATCTATACACAAAATGTCATGATGTTTTGGAATTAGAATTCATCACATTCTTGTCAGCACAGTCCTTTTGTACTCAGGTGTGTGCTTGGAGTAAAGGGGTGTGTGGGGTTGAATAAAGGCAGGGCCTTTGACTTCAAGCAGCTCAGTCTTTTTTTTTTTTTTTTATGAATAGCTACTCCCACAGTTTTGGATTGTTTTAAAAGTAGGACACCTCTGCATTTTGAAATGGACTTAGAAGTAGAAAGTTCAAGAAAAGGAATTCTTGTTTTTCTTCCTGCTCCTCAGCTTCAACAGTATTTATTGAGTGTTTACTACAATAGTGTTATTGTATTATCTAAGAGACTGAGATAAGTCACAGACATTGATGATGATTTCATACTGTTATGAAAGAATGACACATATTGATAAAGACCCAAGGTGTGGTGCCACAGTAAACCTGTGAGATTTCACAGAAGGGTGTGATTACTGAGAGCTGGAGATAATAGGGAAGGCTTGGAGACCTAGTTCAGGAAAGAATTACAGGATTTAGGAAAACATGGTGTGAGCACAGTTAGGAGTATGGGAGCCCATGGCTTGACTAGGGACCACCAGAGAGGTTGGAGTAGGAGCTTCTACTGGAGAACAGTGGGGAAAGTAGAGGTCTATCTGTGGAGGCCTTATGTGCCAGGCTCAGGCATTTGGACTGTGGAGAGCTCTGGATGGTTTTTGATGGGAGGACATGGAAGATGTGTTTCCATGAGAAGGTTAGGGTTAATGTGTGCGGAGTTGATGAGGATTGGTGGCAGCGGTGTGAGAGCAGGGACTATACTACGACCTAATCATCTTTGTATTCCTATCTGCTGGTTCAAACTTCACGCTGGTTGCTAAGGTGCATGTAAAAAGGTTATCCTTTGCTTTCCAAATTGCTAATATTCTTGATAACCACCTGCTTTGTCAGTGGCATGACAAATATTGTGAAAGAACTTCTTTGTGCCCCATGAAGAATTAAAGGTAGGCAAACTTGGACTCAGGCTCTTTCAAGCCTTGTTTCTCTTTCAGCTCATTTTGTTCTATTCAGGAAAAGGTACTCGGCCACTGTTACAGAAATTACACAACAGGGTCATTCCCAATCCCCACCTCCCCCAACCCTAACAATTTCTGCATATTCTTACAAATCTCATAAGACAGACCACACATACACACGGGAACCACACAACCCAAGCGAACAGTCCCAAAAGAGCCCGGCGCAGGCACAGACTTGCAGATGGGCAGAATTGACACAAAGCAGCCTCAGGCGCACGTGCACGAGCGCGCAGACGCGCGCGCACAACACCCTCACGTGACTCAGCGCCTAGGCGGAGTACCCGTTCGATTAGGCACTCACACTCCATTATTGGCCCCACTGGCCCCCTGGTGTGCACATGTTCTGCTCCGATCCGCACGCGGAGCCCGCCACACCCCCAGCCCTCGGCAGCCCCCCGCCCAGCCCGGGGCCGCGGACTCGCCGAGGCTCCGCTCACTCGCGGGCGCCGTTTGCGTCATCGGGACGCGACCTTGCAGCAGCACCGGCCGAGACTCGAAGTGCCGGCGGCTGCAGGAGCAGAAGCCGGAGCCGGCGGAGCTGCGGGGTGCGGACCGCGAGGGCGAGAGCGGCTGCGGGAAGCTGCTCGGGCCCGGAGCGCCGCGATAGGTGCGTCGTCGCCCTCTCCGCTGGACCCGGCGCCACGCCGGCAGGTTGTCCACCTCCCCGGAGCTCCAGGATTCCCCCCTGAGAAATGGGCCCGGCTCGTGCCGGGTGGGGTTCGGGAGACCGGGCTGCGGCATGGGCTCCCTTGGGGAGGAGGGAAGTTCCTGTGGACTGAGTAGCCTATGCACCTGAAGGGATCGCGGGGGCATTGGCTTTCGGGCAGCTGGGGTGCTTTGCGAGCGCTGGTGCTGGGGACAATCCCATGACACTTAACAAATGATTGGCCTGAGCGCACATCGTGTGCCAGACACTGTTAGGCGCTTTTTAGGTACTGTGCAGCCCTCCCAGCAACCCCAGGAGGTAAGATCTATCATATGCCCATTTTCCAGATGGGGAAACCAGGGCGTAGAAGTTAACCAACTTGTTCAAAGACAACGCAGATAGTCAGCAGTGGGGGATTCGAACTTGGGTATGTTTGGCTTCAGAGCTGATCCTCCTCTCTCTCTTCCTTTAAAAAGGAGTTAGTTCCCCTCAGCTTATAGTTTGGCGCCTCCAGATTTTGTTTTACTTCTTGACCTTGGATAAACGCTGTCGGGAGGGAGGAGCGAACCGTGACTTCCTATTGGCACGGGACTCTCTCCTTCCACTACTCCCGTCGCTGGGGCCAGCAGCAACTTCTTTTTTTCAGGCAGCAACGGGGCTCCTCCCCCTGTTGCAGCTACATTCTGCATGTGAAACTGATAGCTGATTTATTTCATAATAGTGAAGAGCTTTCATGCCAGGTGCATTGCTTTACTATTCTCTCAAATGACCTATTATGTTAGGTTGATGTCATGTTAAATTGTTAAGGACGATATGGTTGTGCTGAGAATAATAGTTATCGCAGCAAACCCATATGGGGAGTAACACTGTTACCCTGGACGTGACCTTTCAGAGTTTTAAAGGAGTAATTTAAGGCAGGGTGAGAAATAGCCAAAAGCTAAAGCAGTTTGAGAATTATGTTAGGGAGTTTTTATATTTTAGGTTAATCGCTGTTTTTTTTTGGTTTTGTTTTGTTTTTAGCAGTTCACTGTTAATGAAATTTTCCCTTAGGGTACGAAAAGGCTTATTGAAAAGGATGAAAACTTTATTTATTTAAAAAAAGATTTTATTTATTTATTTGACAGAGAGACACCGCGAGAGAGGGAACACAAGCAGCGGGAGTGGGGGAGGGAGAAGCAGGCTTCCCACCTAGCAGGGAGCCTGATGTGGGGCTCCATCCCAGGACCCTGGGACCGTGATCTGAGCAGAAGGCAGCTGCTTAACAACTGAGCCACCCAGGCACGCCAAGGATGAAAATTTTTAAATCAGATATTTCAAGATGGTATAGTTTTGATTTAGAGCTTTGTAAATGTATTAAAAGTGCAAATATCGTTGCATTTAAGGCATCACAAGAAAATTGAGAGCTTAATTCACTTTGAGTGGGAAACTTTAGAGGTGCCCTCTTTGCCTTCACTATTTTTATATTGCATAGTATGTATGACCAAAAATTCCCAGCACATAATTAAAAAAAATCATCTACTTGTGCGCATACAGGTAACTTCTATTTAATTAAACAAACACATACCTTCATCCTCCCAGGAACTATTCAGTTATTAATGCAAATGAAATAATTCTTTGTTACCTACCTGAAATAAGCTGTTATTTACCCTTGCACATTCATGGCTATTTTGTTCAGGAAATCTAAAGATACAAATGTTGATTTAAAAAAAAAAATCAGAACAGTCTACCAGAGCTGTTGAGTTTAAACACATCAAAGTCTGCTTTTATACATTGACTAAACATGGTGGATGTCCACCAGTAGTTCATTTGACATCCTATGATGGAGCAAAATAATGTCGAGGTCAGAATTTTGAGTTTTGGTCTTTACTGTCTGGATTAGTCATTAATTTAAATGATGTATATTTTTTATAGCACATGATTTGGGAGTTGCTTCTTGTGACATGGATGAATCTGCACTGACCCTTGGCACAATAGATGTTTCTTATTTGCCAAATTCATCAGAATACAGTGTTGGTCGATGTAAGCATGCAAATGAGGAATGGGTAAGTTTAATACAGGTTAGAAACATTCAACCTAAAGATGGTTGTTTCAGTGTTGTTTATGAAGGTAGCTGGAAGAAACATAGTATCAAATAGAGGTTAATAGCTACAGAAACTGCCTCCAGCTGTTAGAAGATATGTTTATGGAGCCTAATATTTAAACATTCTAATGGTTTTGTGTTAATTGGGAAGAAAAAATTGGGTGGGATATTTAAGCATAGTGATTGTGTTAAAAAGCAAAATACTTTGCATAGAAAAACCTAGGAGTTGTTTTGGGTGGTGAACTTATAAAGATATTTTCTGTATCTATTTTCCATAATAAGTATGAATTTTGTAATGGAAATAAAGTTTTTTTAAAAAATAAAAATAAATTTTAGTATGAATCTCAATTCAAAGGACATGCATTTTCTTGTATTTTTTTTCTATTTTGACATAACATGGCATGTTTAAAATATTTCTTGAACACTATCTGCTTTATATAAAAATGATGTTGGAGTTTTGGGGTTTCTTTGCTTCGTTTTGAGAATGTTGTATCAGTGGGCTATGAGCAACTAATGAACTCAGTGAGCAAAATGTTTAGAACAGAGGAGCAGAATTTGACCCTAATTGGACAGTACATACAGCTATGATAAGAATTCCAGCTTTTAAACTCTGTTGTCAGGATAAAAGAATGTTACATAAGTTTACCTTGTTTTTTATTTAAAGGAAAATATTTTAAGCTGTGCATAACAACTTGCTTACTGAGTAAGGCTTTGTAGTGCTTTTGCGGGAGTCCGTGATTGAAGAGGAGTAAGATTAACTGTTAGCATATGGATCCAGGGGTCTGGTTTTATTCATCCTGCTGCTGTCATGGGCTGTTTAACCTTGTAAAACTGTTTTTGAACCTCTGAGTGTGCGGTAGTCCTTGCTAGTTATTGCTATTCTCAGGTGCTCAAATTTTGCTTATGTTCCAAGTTTTGTTCCAAGTGTTGATGATGGAGGGGAGTACCATAAAGGAAAATCACTCTGAGAAACTTACACTACCAAAAGAAACCTAAGTTTAGGTTTCTCCTCTATCTGAAATACCTTAGTTTTAGAGATCAAGTGGACAAATACAGTTCTCCTGCCATTCAGACACTTTTTTTTTTCCATTAACGTTTTTTAGGGTGAGTGTGGTTTCAGACCTACTGTCTTCAGATCTGCAACCTTAAAATGGAAAGAAAGCCTAATGAGCCGGAAAAGGCCATTTGTTGGAAGATGTTGTTATTCCTGTACTCCCCAGAGCTGGGTAAGAATGTTAATGCTTGTTGACCTTTAATAAACAGTGAAATTCCAACTTTGTGTGAATTTTATTATTGGGTAGTCTTAATGGACTTAATTCATTTTTAGAACTTAGGCCCATGTTTATAAACCAAATATTCCAAGTAATGGTGTTGACTCAGTTTTTCTTTCCATTCATTTATTCAGTAAATATTGGTCAAACGGTTGATACTAAGTGATAATTTCATTCTTTCTTAGTTTTTTTTTAAGATTTTATTTATTTGAGAGAGAGAGAATGGGTACACACTTGAGAGAGCGAGAGCAGGAGGAGGGGGAGGGGCAGGGGGAGAAGCAGACTCCCTGCTGAACAGGGAGCCCAACACAGGGCTCAATCCTAGGACCCTGGAATCATGACCTGAGCTGAAGCCAGCCACTTAACTGAGCCACCCAGGCACCCTGGTTCTTTTTTTAGTTTAGTATGACTTTAGGGGAAGAGTAGATCTTACTTTTAGATCTCTCTTCTTTTTTTATTTTTTTATTTTTTAAGTTCAATTAGCCAACATATAGTACATCATGAGTTTTTGATGTAGTGTTCAGTGATTCATTAGTTGCTTAACACCCAGTGCTCATCGATCACATGCCCTCCTTAATTCTAAAGAGTTGATGGGAACCTTCATAGAACTTCTAGATATTGAACTTTTGACTCACTGTTAAAATCCTAGTGAGATGTGTAAGAGATAGCAGGACAGAGTGAAGTTTTAAAGCTGTGGCTTTACCCTATTCTCCTTTTGCTAAGTTTCTGTTGCGGGGGGGATGGGTAGGGAGGGTGAGTATCTGTTGACTATTATAGTGAAGGATGGTTACTAAATGTTAGGATTGGGGTGCCTGGGTGGCTCAGTCAGATAGGCGTCCGACTCCTGATTTCTGCTCAGGTCATGATCTCAGGGTTGTGAGATGGAGCTGTGCATCGGGCTCTGTGCTCAGCTTGGAGTCTGCTTGAGATTTTCTCTTTCTCTCTTTACCCCCCCCCATAAATAAATAAATAAAATCTTTTTAAAACATAAAATAAGGGGTGCCCGTGTGGCTGAGTCAGTTAAACCTCTGCCTTTAACTCAGGTGGTGACCTCAGGGTCCTGGAATCAAGTCCTGAGTCGAGTCTGCTTCTCCCTCTCCCTCTGCCCCTCTCCCCCTGCTCCTGCTTGCTCAAGCACACGTGCGCGCGTACTCTCTCTCTCTCTCAAATAAATAAATAAAATCTTTAAAAAATAAAATGTTAGGCTGAAGATTTTAAATAGAGTATGTGTGGGTTTGTTTGTATTTTGGTGAAGCAAACACATGTCATGCAAAATCTTTCACATTACAGTGTAGTATTTGAAAAGAGTCAGTTGGATGAAAGGCAAGCTTTTGTTGGTAATTTGCTAGAGGGATGAATTAGCCCAGGAATGTAGAATCGAAGTGGCTGTGTTCTTGGGCAGTAGAGTTACCTTTTAAAAGGTATACCTGGATGTTAACTCTCTCTGGGATGGGCCAGTTATCAGGACAGAAATTCTGCCATTTTGAGTGCCTTTCATTTATAGACATTGCTTATGACCTGTGTGGGTAGCTGGCTGTGCTGTGTGAATTTTCTACTCAGGGTTGGCTTAGCAGGAAGTAGAATTCTGAGTCTGGTGTAAAGGGATTCACTAACTTGGGAAAGATTTGTGTGGGACCCAAGCAATTTATGTTAAATATTCTTAATTATAAATATTGTTCCTTTTAAATCATAAGCGCCTTGTTGCAGGAATTTGGTAGAATTGAAGGACCATGATATTTATAGTCTAGGAGTAAGGCCAGTTCAGATTAATAGGCCAGTAGAAATAAAAATTTAAATAAATGATCATGTGGCTTTTCTTTTTAGACTGGCATCTCATCTAATTCTAATTTCAAATCCTTAAAAAGTCAAAATAATACCTTGACTTTAATGTATTCTTTTTTAAAAAGATTTATTTATTTGAGAGAGAGAAAGTGAACACACGCACGAACATGGGGGAGGGGCAGAAGGAGAGGGAGAGAAAGTCCCAGGCAGATTCTGTGCTGAGCACAGAGCCCAACGAGGCTTGATCCCAGGACCCTGAGATCACGACCTGAGCCGAAACCAAGAGTCTGAAGCTCAGACGACTGAGCCACCCAGGCGTCAGGAGAGAGTATAGGAAATTATTTGGTCATGGTGGGGGGGGGTGTTTTGGGGTGGGCATGGATGAGTTGTATAGTAAATAACTGATTTTTGCTTAAATACAGTACCTGATGGAGTTGAACTTGATCTTAAAGTTCTTCCGTGGCATGTTTATTTAAAATAATTTTAAACAGTACTTTCATAGTAATTTTTTGATTTTTGCTACCCTTTCTCTGATACCCTGTTTTCCTTATCTCTAAAGAGATTCCAAGTAAATATTTTTATATCTTCTATTGAAGGTACATTATGCTTTCCCAGCATTTATTTATGGAATGTTTACCTTTTTGTCCACACTGATAAAGCTACAGACTTTTCTCTTTCCAGAAGAACTATCTCTTGAGTTATCCTTTAAGTTTTCCTGTAAAGAGAGTGACCTTTAGCCATACATTTTCCAATTAAGTAAACAGTCATTTTAGAGAAATAAGGACTGTACTCTTTAGAGCAAGATGTAAATTTGAATATTAGAACCTCCATCAGCCTCAATTTTCCTATCTGTAAAATGGGGACAATAATTATTGTGTCAGGATTATTGCCGGATTTAATAATCTAATGATAACTACATGGTACTTAGCATGGTATTTTTGCATTTGGGGAATACTGAAATCTCCAATATTCCTGTCAGTGATTTAATAAGCTCTCAGTAGCTTCAACTCTTTTGGGTTGGAGGTAGGGAGTGAGGCAGGAAAGGGAGGCACAGTTTCCTCTGCAATGTGGTAAGCCTCAATTCTGAGTTTGTGACCTTCTTTGAAGACTAAAAAGTACTTTTCAATAAAACATTTTTCTTCATCACTTAGATTTTTGAAGCAGTGCTTAACTTTATACTTGAGTTATAAAAGTTATCAAGAAATAGTAATGTGGGACGCCTGGGTGGCTCAGTCGGTTAAGTGTCTGCCTTTAGCTCAGGTCATGATCTCAGGGTCTTGAGATCGAGCCTAAGGTAGGCTCCCTGCTCAGTGGGGAATCTCCTTCTCCCTCTCCCTCTGCCTCTCCCCCTGCTTCTCCCCCCAGCTTGTGCTTTCTCTCTCTCAAATAAATAAAATCTTAAAAAAAAAAAAGTAGTAATGTGAGTCCTTCACCAGCCATCCAGTTGTATACTTATGTCTACATTTATTTTGTTTCATGTAGGATAAATTTTTCAACTCCAGTATCCCATCTTTGGGTTTGCGGAATGTTATTTATATCAATGAAACTCACACAAGGTAAAAAGAAATTTCTTTTATTTCTAATACGTCTCAAAAGAAAAACTATAATAATCAAGGGATATACTCTAAGAGGAATTTCTTCGTCTTTTTGAGAATTAATAGAATTGAGCTTCTGACACAAGAGGCCTGACCTAAAAATTGGAAGTAGCACAGCCCCCTGAGAGACTGGTTACTATTACCACTATGTAATTATATAGTAACTATTTCATGAGAGTGTAGATATCACTTACAGCTTTCTCTTTTTATTTGCACATTGATTTTATATCTGAAGTGTGCCAAAACATGATAAAGATTTGTCTGAGGAAAGGGTAAGTTTGAATGTCTTATGATTTATTATTATTTTATGCTTAAAAATTGAAATCAACCTAATCTGTGGAGTTTTAGAAGATGTGTTCCTGTATCGAGCAAATGTTCTTTCATTTTATTACTAGCTTAAGACTTTCTTTAGAATTCTTCCAGACGTCAGGCACTTGGGGATGGGCTGTTAGGCATCCCAGTGAGAGAAAAGAGGCTTTGTTTTATGTGAATCTAGGCTAGGGGATAAGGGAGGGGGGAGGGGAGGTTGTGTGAATGTCTGTGAGGCAGGAGAGAATGGCAGCCAAAAACGCTGCCAGTCCTTCTACTTAGTTCTAAGAGTAAATGCCTGGAATAGGTCAACAGTAGGTTCAGGTGATGAGACATGCTTGAAATTCTGTGAAAATTGATCCAAGAAGTCAAATATGTAAATTTGAAGGCTTTCTGATGTTACTGATCATATATTGGTGATGAGATAATAAGTGAGCATGACAATACCTGCATATAAAAGTGTTTTTTTTTTTTTAATAGAACCAAAGTCAAGGGACATATTTTTTCCCAATCCCATGCTACCCTTCTCCCTCCCCCTCTCTCTCTTTTAAATTTAAAGGAGAGAGGAGCAATTCTGCCCCCTGATATTTTTTCTCCCTTTTTTGACTTAAGATCCTAAGGGATCTCATAGAGTCTCTTGATTATGTAAGTAGCCATTTTATGTATAAAGCCAAAGGATTCATTTGTTGTCCCCAGTTGAAAGCATTGAAGAAAAAAAAACCTACACTATACTGACTAGGTGATTTGTAACCAGTCCGCGTGATGACCTGCCTGTGCAGTTGAGCTGGCTACTTCACTTCTCTGTGTGTTACATGAAGCAAAGCCTAGACACTTTTTTTTTTTTAAGATTTTATTTATTTATTTGACAGAGAGAGACACAGCGAGAGAGGGAACACAAGCAGGGGGAGCGGGAGAGGGAGAAGCAGACTCCCCACCGAGCAAGGAGCCTGATGCGGGGCTTGATCCCAGGACCCTGGGATCATGACCTGAGCCGAAGGCAGCCGCTAAACGACTGAGCCACCCAGGCGCCCCAAGCCTAGACACTTTTAAGCACACACACACACACACACACACACACACACACAGACACACACCGCTTTCAATCCATTACAAAAGGATTTCATCAAGAGCTGGGACTTTGCACATTCCAGTAACAATTGTGAAAGTGTTCGCTCAAGGAAGAATTTAGAATTAAACACTTAACATAGTGGGTCAAGTTTGCAGAGAATTGAGACAAAGGAAAGGAGGTAGAAAAAGAGAATGTCAGGAAAAGAGATGAAGGAACAAATGATTCATCAACAATTCTTCCTCCAGTTACTTTTCCTTAACTGAGAGCTTTTCAGAATTCATGAATTTATATTTGAAATCTGTCCATTTGAGTGTCTTTATGGGTGAAATGATAATGAGGCATTAAATAATCATTACAAATGGTTTCAAATCATTGCATATGAAGGTTTGTAACATTGTTATTCTGAGGTCTCTGTCCCAAGCCCCCATATAAGTAACACGTAGTTACCAACAGCAATGGGAATACGTCCTATCCCTTAGATATGTCAAATGTTGGGGGCGGGGGAAAGGTAAGAACTTCTGGCTTCGTAAGCCCAGTGTACAAATGTTTAGACCATACTTTAATTATCCTTGACTTCTGTCAACTACTCAGCTTTGTCAGAGTCAGTGATTACCTTAGATTAAAAAAAAAAAAATTACCTTTAATAAAAAATTAGCCCTTCATGTAGAAAAGACTTCTGAATTATCTCTTTATAGCTCATAGCTGTAAGTTACATATATATATAGCATTCAACATACTTGCTTTTAAAAAATGTATTAATAAAGTAAGACTTTATTTCTTTTGTTTTTATATTTGATTTATTATTGGCAGAGTAACACCATTCAAGCATTTTAGTACACAAATTCCAAGTTTAAATTTTAGTTGAGTGTACACGAGAGAAATCAGGAATGAAATTGCATAGATCTTCCTGAACTACTAAGGAGAATTTGCTAAAGGAGAACACCAAATTTCAGGAATAGATGAAACAAGGCTTTGTTTTTATAGCAGGACACTACTGTACAAGTCAAGCAATTTGTTGTAGATGTTCCTAGACTACTTCTCTGCTAAGTCCTTTTCACGTTGCAGGCACAGAGGATGGCTTGCAAGACGTCTTTCTTACGTGCTTTTTGTTCAAGAGCGAGATGTCCATAAAGGCATGTTTGCCACCAATGTGGCTGAAAATGTACTGAACAGCAGTAGGTAAGGGTGGGGATGCTGTTATAAAGGGAAGAGGTGGGGGGTTGGGGGGGGAAGTGGGGTAGGAATTGCCTGCCTTTATTAACCTTTACTTTCTCTGGGACTCTGTCTCAAGAGGGATTTCCATTTCCAAATGTTAAATGTTAAACTTCAAAGGAAAGCAAGGAAAAGTAGGAGAACAGATGGTTTTGGGAATAGCAGTCTTGTTTTATGCATTAACAATTGAATGGGTTTCTAATATGTGAAAGGAGAGTCGGAATTCAGAGATGAACATATTTCCAGTTCTCTGGTAAGTTTTCTGTAATACGAATGTTTGGGACATTGTGTTTCTTATCATTATAGCCAAAAGGGAAACACATTTGATATTTCTGTCAGTTTTTGAGTACCTAGGCACAAATTCTTGTGCTAGGAAATCCTTACTAGAAATTTTAAGAGAATAAGATTCTGTCCTTGCTCTCAGAAGAGCTTACTTACAAATGGGAGACACTGACTGGAACTCAGATGGAGTGGGGAAATAAATCATTCTCAAGTTTAGGTGTTAGAATATGAGAGTTTGCATGAAGGTTGGTCTCTGATCCACCTTATTTGGTGTCACCATGGTAGACCTTTATCTGGATTTGGGGAGCCAGAGACCAGAGTGGTTTGAAAGACTGCTTAGAAACCCTGTAGTGTGGTTGTTAAGGACCGAACGGTGGTGGCACGTAGTAGGTACTCAATAAATAATGAATGAATAAATAGTTGATAATGGAGATTTAATTATCTTCTCAATTACTTGTAAAAACATTCCTGGCCAGATTGAAATAAAGGTATTAAAGGAATGGCCTAAGGTGCATCAGCAACCTGTGGAATTGGACTTTTATATTAATGAATTTTGGGGTTATATGCGGTTTTGCTGTGTACTAGTCTAAAATCAGTAGCAACAGTGGGAGAAAACGTAATTATTTGAAACTCCTTTGGGTTATTGTATATTCTGTTTTCTAGGTAAAAACCTTCAAGTATGTTTCATTCCATCCAGAGGTTTTGACTCATAACTACGATATTAAACGTGATTTAAGGAGGTTTAACCTCATGTGTTCTTCCCTGAGTCACATGGAAAATTTACAAAACTGGATTAAATCTTACCTCTTACTTCACTGCTTATTGCTCTGTGTTGTTTTAATCTTGAGCTTTCTTAAATTACTGGGTTGATGTGGAAAACACTTGTAAATATTTATGCCCCTCTCTGATCCCTCCTAGGGAGTTTTACATGTAGTTCTACTAATAAAGTCACTATGTAAATGAGTAATAAATTAGGTCTTTAAAAGAAAAATCACACATTACTTTGGCAGTGGGCTTTGGATACCTCTGAGTTATATGCCTAAAGCGATAACCTTTCTTTCTCTCCCCTCTGCTAGAGTGTAACTTTGTATCCCGCGCAACATACCTGGAACATTCAAATTCCTGTAGCTGTTACCCAGTGAATTTGAGTTAAATTCTTAAAGCTGCCTTCCAGATTCCTCAGGGATTCATTGATTTAGGAATATAATATCCTTAATATTTATTAGGCAGCCAGATAAAACATATCTAATTTGAGCTTATTTTCATGTTAATCACATTTTAAGAAGATACATTTTGTTTTGTGACTTATAGCTATGATTTAGAAAATACTGAATGCAGAATGTAGCATAGAACCAGTTACATTGTCTTTCCGTTTTCCAGAGTGCAAGAGGCAATTGCGGAAGTGGCTGCTGAATTAAACCCTGATGGTTCTGCTCAGCAGCAATCAAAAGCCATCAATAAAGTGAAAAAGAAAGCCAAAAGGATCCTTCAAGAAATGGTTGCCACTGTCTCACCAACAATGATCAGGTATTAGGAGGCAAAGCACAAAGTTTTCAGTGAGAGCCATCCTATTTTGAGCAAACATGGACTGAACCATTAGACTCTCCTAGCACAATGGTTTTGGTCCAGAGGAAGTTTGGACATATTCTGTTGTTAAAACTCCTTTTTACTTTATTTATTTTTTATTTTTTAAGATTTTATTTATTTGAGAGATCATGAGCAGGGGGGAAGGGTAGAGGGAGAAGCAGACTCCCTGCTGAGCAGGGAGCCCGATGATGGACTCGATCCCATGTGGGACTCGATCCCAGGACCCTGTGATCATGACCTGAGCTGAAGGCAGATGCTTAACCAACTGAGCCACCCAGGTGCCCAAAACTCCTTATATTCTTATTCAACTTCCATGGAAAGTAGCCCTGTGGTAGGCTTTAAGGTGCCTTAATCTTTGTTAATCGATAGTAGCCCTTACATGACTGCTGACTTATCTCTAGACTTGTAAGCTGGGTTTCACATATCCATATCTTAAAGGGAGTGGTTTTATACAGCTTTCTGCTCACCTAAATATTCCGTCAATGATTTGCTTCTGAAGTGTAAAGTGTGCTATTTGAGTGAAATGTAAGATTTTAGTCTGTAATAAATAGATAAATAGAAATGTAAGATTTTAGTCTATAATAAATACATGTATCTATAAGTGTGCATGTAAAAGTCAGCTCTTTAATTCAGTAGTTCAGGTACAGACATACACGTACTAAGTCACTTACAAGTACTTTTCGGTTGTAGGTTCAGAAACTTAAGTAGACAAAAGTCAACTCTCTCTAAACGTATGTATATACATTTGAATTTCTTTTTTTTTTTTTCCTCCTTTTAGACTGACGGGATGGGTGTTGCTCAAACTGTTCAACAGCTTCTTTTGGAATATTCAGATTCACAAAGGCCAACTTGAGATGGTTAAAGCTGCAACTGAGGCAAGAATTTTGTGTGATCTGTCATTCTGTGGTCCCCATGTTTGTGGAGTGATTTTAGAGTTCTTTTGTATGGAAATGTTCTCTTGTGTGCTGTGTGCATCCAACCCATTTGGAAGATTTCCCCCATGTGACATGAGCACAGCAGCTGTGCATTTGGGGAGGGGTGAGTAAAGGAGGACCTATCAGTAATGTGCTGGATTCCTTTTGTAAGTTACCTTGCAACAGCTCTGAAATTAGATAGAACAATCCATATTTGTAAGTGACAAAATAAAAGCACAGATAAAGATTTCCCAGTCATGGCTAGTAAGTGACTTCCCATGATTTCAAGCCAAACCAAGCTTGGGGTTTACTCTGCTCTTTTGACATGATCAGGACTGACTTTCAGAAGATACATAAAGTCCACTTGAATTCTCAGTTGCACTTCTCCTTCCCCAACTCTTTTTTTTTTTTTTTTTTAATTGTGGTGGTGGTGGTTGTTTTCAGCTAAGGAAGTGTTAAATTGGAAGAAGTTCGTATTACTGGAAAATGTTTTTAAAGAATGAGTCATTGATCAGCCAGCGTTTGAGTGATTCTAACCAAATATGAAGTTGTGAATTGTGATTGAAATTCACATTTGAATTTTAATTTTGGCATTTTTTCTTTTACTAGATGAATTTGCCACTTATATTTCTACCAGTTCACAGATCACATATTGACTATCTCCTGCTGACCTTCATTCTCTTCTGCCATAACATCAAAGCACCGTACATTGCTTCAGGCAACAATCTGAACATTCCCATCTTCAGGTAAGACCAACTTATTTTGAAATTTAAGGTATGGAAAAGATTATATTTTGAATTTTTGGTGTTTTCATTGTACATTTTGAAACATGTTATTGTAGAGATGACATCAGCTTTTTTGCTTTCATTATACAAGTAATGCATGTTTATTGTGGAAAATCTGAAAGGTACAAAAAGGCATTAAGACTATCACTGTTATTTCTGTTTTATGTGGGATACTTGGTGAACTGTGAATACCTCAACTTCATGGGCAATATTTATCAAATGGCTAAAAAGCAATTAGAAAGATGAGATAGCAAATTATTGTATCAGGTTTGGCAGTAGGGAAGGTGGGGGTGGGGATATGGGTCGTGGTGATGGTATAAAGTAAGAAGAACCATACCTGTTACCTTTGACCTGATAATTTAGTAGTGCTAGAAACACATAATAATTATAATATGACACAAAAAGTATATTTTAGAGGTTTTTCAGGAGAAGGCAGTGCATTCCATTCCGAGGAAATAGTATGTGAAGAGGCCAAGAGGCTCAAATGCATGGTACGGCCGCTAAACGGCAGACGATTCAGTAGGGTTAGAATGCAGGATGCAGTGGGAAGGATCAGAGGCCAGAAGTGGTCATTGCATAGGGAGAGCTAGATCAGAACAGTTTTTAAGCCAAGAGTTTAGAGTGTATCCTGTAGTTGAAAAGTGGTCAGATTTGCATTTTGAAAAGTCATTCTGGATTACAGGGTGTTAGAACAATTCTGACTCTATTACAGTAGTTCAGGCAAAAGATAATGAAGGCTTAAATTAAAATTTGTAGTGGTGCTCTTGGTGAGGAAGGCAGAGAGTGGAAAAGTATTAGTAAGGTGAATTTATAAGACGAAATGCTAGTCCAGAGAGGGGGAGTTGCGGGAGGAATACTCCCAGATATTTACCACCAGGGAACTGGATAGATAGTGGAGCTGATCACCAATGGGGAATGGGTGAGGAGTAGGTTTAGTCGGTTGGGGACATTGCAGGTTCAAATTTCAAAGCAGAGAGCATCTGTGACATCAGCTCCGAGCAGTAGGGAGTATGAGGAGGATGGATTTACAGTAACCAGAGAGCAAGTGGAGTGGCGGGTTGTGCACGTAAGGGCTCACAAAATAGCCGTGATAACCTTTGTGTGCTGTGAAGTCTGATCCTCAGCCTCACAGTCCAAGGAGCTCCTTCCTAATCCATTGGCTCAGAGTTCTGTGGCTAACCGGACTCATGGGAATAGCTGAAGGGAGGCCATTCATTCGTGTAGTCACTGATACTTACCCAGCTATGCTGTAGACAAGAGTGAAGAAGTTACATAGTCCTTGCCTTCAAATAGTTCATATTCATAATCTACTGGGGAATATAAACAAACAGCTATAATGCGATGCGATACACCCCTGCGGGGCAGACATGCTTCTCTAGGGACTAGAATATCTGTGTTTACTCTCCTGGGAACCTCTTCCCAGTACTGGGAAAACTGGGAAGTTGCATTAGAAAGTCACCAGAAAGTTGGTAGCAGGCACAGACTTAGAGCTAAGAGAACTGTTCCCTTTGGGCTTTAGGGGGGCCCTGCCCCATAATAGTTTGCCTTTCCTGTCATCAGAATAACTCCTGTACTCATTCCCTCCAGGTTCTCAGCTTGCAGGTGCTCCTGGAAGGATCTCATCGAAATGCGTGTTAAAAATTGATAATTTCTCATAATCCAACTTTGCTTTTCGTGAACTCTGTGCCAGGCGTTGCTTAGCTCATCCTTCCTTCAGACATGACAGTCGATGACCTGGCCTGTTTATTGGCAGCTTTCTTCTGTTACACGCCAGTCTGCCAGTTCACAAACCACTTTTCAGGGTGGGTGGTTTCTCTGGGAGGTTCATCTCATTCATTATGAACTTTTCCATAGTTTTGCTCTCAGGGAGTGAAAGAAGATAGTGAAAATATATATTGATATGATATTAATATCACTCTATTTGAAAAGAAGAGGAGGAGGCTCTGAATTTGGAAAAGTTGCCTTAAATATTATAAAATTTCATCTCAGTATCAAAATCTATCAGGGTCATAGAAAGAACCATGGGGTTGAGAAAAGAATCGTTTTATCCCCGTGTAAGTGTACATAAAGCACATTTTTGTTTCATGTTTTGGGAAAATGGTTATGCTTGGTTTTGGTTTGATAAAATTACCCTTGTCTTACAGAGACACTCTCTAAGCAGTACTTTCTTGAGGAAATTTCCCCAAAGGAGCTTTTGTAACATCACATTCATTTTGTAATAAATGTGCCAAAGGCAGATTTCAGGATGTCTAATAGTCAGTGTCCTGAGATCCTTGACAGTTTTCAAATTTAGCAGTATTTCATCATCCTCTTAAAATCTGTAACATTATCTTTGCAGGGTAATATATTGTACGAACTTCTTTTGGTTTGGAACAGATGTTAGTAGGTTAGTAGAGCTTCAGTACACGAAGTGATATTCTAAAGGCTGACAAATGATGCAAATGACTGAAACACAGTCAGTAACATGGAAAATGGAAAAACATCCACATTTTCACTGTTAACAGCTCAAACAACACGTGGTTTATATTCCTATGGCATATGTTTTGAAGTAACTTGGAATTTAATATTGTTACATTTTTATTTATAAATAACGGATGCATTCTTCAATTTATAGTACCTTGATCCATAAGCTTGGGGGCTTTTTCATACGTCGGAGGCTGGATGAAACGCCAGATGGACGGAAGGATATTCTCTATAGAGCTTTGCTCCATGGGGTATGTACGCTCTCTCATCACCCTTAAAGCCCTTATAGTAGTTATCACAGTAGAAGGAAAAACAGGCTTGACTGAGATTTAAAAAAAAAAAATTGTTGTCTATGTAATTATTTAAATGGTTATTGTCTGGGTATGGGGGTTGATGATTATTTCTGTTATCACCAAAATACAGCATCGGCGGAGCTGGCTTGCTATTATTCTTGTGAGTAAAATATTTTGTCAGTAGTGAAGTTACAGGTTTTTGTTTGTTTATTTTAAGATTTAACTTTGCTGAGCTTATTCTAAGTTGGGTAGTCTTGAATTCATGGTTTACATTCTCCTTATATTCCAGCATATAGTTGAGCTACTTCGACAGCAGCAGTTCTTAGAGATTTTTCTGGAAGGTACACGCTCTAGGAGTGGAAAAACCTCCTGTGCTCGGGCAGGACTTTTGTCAGTTGTGGTAGATACTTTGTCTACTAATACCATCCCAGACATCTTGATAATACCTGTTGGAATCTCCTATGATCGAATTATTGAAGGTCACTACAATGGCGAACAGCTGGTAAGAGGACTGCCTTCCCAAACGTCTTCTTCACTTCCAAGTCTTTTGCTTTTAGATACGGGCTTTTGGAATCAATTAGGAATTTTTTGCTACTATTTAAAGCACTGTAGGAAACATGGTAGAGTGGGTGTGGTGAGTAGCTTTCATCCCTTGTGTCCGTCTGATTGGTCTTGCTAATGTGGCATTTTCCTGCACATCTTCTTTATCCATTCATCTGTTGGTAGATACTTGGGCTGCTTCCATACTTTGGCTGATGTAAATGATGCTGCAGTAAACATGGAGTGCATGTATCCCTTTGAATTAGTGTTTTTGTATTTTTTGGGTAAATACCCAGTAGTATGATTATGGGATTGTAGGGTAGTTCTAGGTTTAATTTTTTGAGGAACCTCCATACTGTTTTCCACATTGGCTGCACCAGTTTGCATTCCCACCAGCGGTACAAGAGGGTTCCTTTTTCTCCACATCCTTGAAACACTTGTTTCTTGTGATTTTGATGCTAGCCATTCTGACGGGTGTGATATATTATTGTAGTTTTGATTTGCATTTCCCTGACAATGTGTCTGTTGGCATCTGTATGTCTTCTTTGGAGAACTATCTGTTCATGTCTTCTGCCCATTTTTTTTTTTTAACGGTTTATTTACTAGGGGCCCCTGGGTGGTTCAGTCGGTTAAGCGACTGCCTTCGGCTCGGGTCATGATCCCAGGGTCCTGGGATCAAGCCCCACATAGATAGGGCTCTTGCTCTGCAGGGAGCCCGCTTCTCCCTCTCCTCCCCACTTGTACTCTCTCACTATCTCTCCTTCTCTCTCTCTCAAATAAATCAATCTTAAAAAAAAAATATTTACTAATTTATTTGAGAGAGAGAAGGTGCATGGAGGGGGTTTGGGGAGGGACAGAGAGAATCTCAAGCAGACTCTGTGCTGAGCATGTAGCCCGATGCAGGGCTTGATCTCATGACCCCGCGATCATGACCTGAGCCAAAACCAAGAGTCGGATGCCCAACTGACTGCACCACCCAGTCACCCCTGCCCATTTTTTAATTGGATTATTTGGATTTTTGGTGTTGAGTTGTGTAAGTTCTTCATATGTTTTAAATACTAACTCTTTATCCTCTTTATTACATATATTGTTTGCAAATATCTTCTCCCATGCAGTAGGTTGTCTTTTAGTTTTGTTGAATGTTTCCTTTGCTGTGCAGAAACTTTTTATTTTCATGTACTCTTAATAGTTTATTTTTGCTTTTATTTCCCTTGTCTCGAGACATAGCTAGAAAAATGTTGCTACGGCCAGTGTCAGAGAAATTACTGCCTGTGTTCTCTTCAAGAATTTTTATGGTTTCAGGTCTCACATTTAGGTCTTTAATCCATTTTGAGCGTATTTTTGTGTATGGTGTAAGAAAGTGGTGCAGTTTAGTTCTTTTGCATGTAGCTGTCCAGTTTTCCCTTCACCATTTGTTGAAGAGACAGTCCTTTTCCCCTTGCATATTCTTGCCTCCTTTGTTGAAGAGTAATTGACCAAATAATTGTGGGTTTATTTCTGGACTTTCTGTTCTGTTCCATTGATCTATGTGTCTATTTTTGTGCCAGTACCAGAGTTTGCAGTAGTGTTTTTGTGAATGGCGTAAACAATGTACTAAGTGAATTAGTGTTAAGTGTTCTGGTTTTCATTGACCAAACTGCCTCTCCCAATAACAGGATTACATCTTTTAGCATCTTTGCATGCTAAAGGTTTTATGACAGATCTCAGTCAATGAATACTTATTTTTCTTCTTTATTTAGTGTTGTTCTTTATACAAACCTCCAGTTTCCATAAAAAAAAATAAATGGTGGGCGCCTGGGTGGCCCAGTCAGTTAAATGTCCGAGTCTTGGTTTCGGCTCAGGTCATGATCTCAGGGTGGTGAGATTGAGCCCTGCATCAGGCTCTGCACTTGGTGGGGAGTCTGTTGGAGATTCTCTGTCCCTCTGTACCTCCTTCCCCACACATGCTCGCTCTTTCTCTCAAAGCTAAGAAATAAATAAATAAATAAATGGCATTTTTTGGATAACAGAATACCTGTTAGCTTTATTTCTTACCATGCTGTTCTTTCAAAATTGGAATTTAGGGAAAACCTAAGAAGAATGAGAGCCTTTGGAGTGTAGCTAGAGGAGTTATCAGAATGTTACGAAAAAACTATGGATGTGTCAGAGTGGATTTTGCACAACCATTTTCCTTAAAGGTGAGTATCTGTTGGAATGACGCAGTGTTAAAGCATTGGTGTGGCTCCGTGTTGGAAGATGTGGGCTCTGGTCCTGCCTCTGCAGCCTCCTCTCTGTGTCACCTCGGTTTCTTCTCTTGGAAGATGAAGACTATGTCAAGAATGGCATTTCCTAAATTTTCCTACCAAAGCATGCCTGTTGACAGAGGATAGTAAATGTCTATCTTTGGGAGATGCCAGGGTCAACATGTATTGCTACTGTTTCTTTTTTAGTTCATGAGAATTTTGCTTGTTGCTTCATATAATATATGTTGGTATTTTATATTTTAAAATTGCCTTTAGAGGAAATTTTGCAAAATCTACCCCTAAAATCTGGGTAAAATTGACAGTCTAGGATGATGTTCTCCTGAGTGGAATCCAGCACGCACACATTCAAAGGGAGAGTGCCATTCTCACGCAGAAGCCTGGCACCGGTGGGACCCGAGGTCCTGGCAGTTTTAAATTCCTAAGATTTTTGAATTGGTGGAGAAGGAGAAGGATGAGTAAGGGAATCGGGAGCCCAGAGATAAGGAGCAGAGGTCCTACTTTTCCTTTTGTTCCATTCTTAGTTTTACTTTAAAGAACCTAACTGCCAGGCTAGATGCTTTCTGGCCTTATGTGCTTTCCATTTTGAGGAGCCTTGTCATTTCTTACCACTTTATCTTTTTCAAAACTATTGCACAATTTCTCTCTGTTGTTAGGATTTGCTTTTGGATTGAGGTTCTTTTGAATATTACGTAACCCTCAGGTTGTCAGATTTCCTTTAAAAAGCATGGTTGGGTTGATCATTACTAATAATAATATTGGGAATGTCAGATATTTTGTGTCGATGTGAGAAAAGTTAAGTGTTTAACTTTTAAATAATTCTGTTTAAGGGGTGCCTGGCAGCTCTTGATATTGGGGTCATGAGTTCAAACCCCACATTGGGCGTGGAGTCTACTTAAAAAAATTTTTAAAAATTAAAGAAGTTAAAAAATTAAAAAATACATAATTTTGCTTAAGCATCATTGTCCCATCCTTTGTATCATCAGGCCTTAGATCTCATGCTTGCCAAAATTCTAGGAGTCGTCCTGCGCTTCTGAAGGTAGTTTAGGATATGGAAAGTACTTCTCCTGCTCTGTAACATGGCTCATTTTATAAAGTACTCCCTTTTTACTTTTTGAAGATCAAACTATATTTTATATATGTTTATGTAAGCGAGACAATGAGTTAATGACTGTGTTGTACTCCCCCCTCCCCCGCCCCCCAGGAATATTTAGAAAGCCAGAGTCAGAAACCTGTGTCTGCTTCACTTTCTCTGGAGCAAGCATTGTTACCAGCTATACTTCCTTTAAGGTAAGATTTGTGGAAACGTTTTGTACTGTCTACACTATCAGATATCTGTTATTTCTGGCATTGCCCAGAAAAATAGATTAAGTGTAGGAAGAATGTGCACGTTCTCATTGTCACTTCCTCGCTTTGGGTAACTTTTCTCTTGGTCTGATAAAGGATAGTGAAGTGACACATTTTCATACTAGTCTGGAGGTTTTTGATTATTTGCGTTATGACAGCTTTTTGATTGTATGAATCAGGTAGGAGTTCTTACTTGATTGATGCTTTTGAATGTTGGAACTGAATTCCTTTTGGTAGTAGCTTCGGTTATGCATATTGTGTGTAAGTGCAGTGTATAAAAGAGTTTTCCTATGTACATTTTCCAGAATTCAGGGTGAATTGTAACTTAGAGAAATTAAATATTAAGCCCCTCCCCTAATGTGTTCAGGTGTCAAAATCTTAGAAATGTTTTAAAATGAGGTATCTTGCTTTATGCAGTGTTTTCGGCCAGTGAATTTTGGAGGTGATGTACCAATAGATTATTTAGTCATAACTCAATAAAATCTTTTGGTCAGGAGACTGTATTAAATATAATAAGGTGTATTATGGGGGAAAACAATGCGTAGAAATAATCTATTTGTGGTTTAAATTTAGAATATGTAGGATTGAAAGTATTTAAGACATTTATACCTTAATTCTAGATAGTTTGCTTATAAGAGAGAGAAGAGAGTGTAGTTATAGAGTCTAATTAAAAAACAATCTTTTCAGACCCAGTGATGCTGCTGATGAAGGTGCAGACACATCCATTAATGCGTCCAGAAATGTAACAGATGAATCCTTCCGAAGAAGACTGATTGCAAATCTGGCTGAGCACGTTCTCTTCAGTAAGTACAATACCAAACCCTTTCATTCTGCAGTTCAGACTCAGCATGGTGCAGGGCACCCTGCACTGGTTTTGGAATCTGCTGGAGTTAGGTTCTACTTCTGGTGCCGTTACCTACCACACAGGTGGTGATGGAGAGTTATTAGAAGGTGATGCCAGGGGGATTTGAAGTAATCGAGTAAAACATCAGACAGGGTGCCTGAGAATTAGTAGGTGCTGCTCATATGGTAGGTGTTACGCTTTTTAAAAAACAGTACTGTCAAAATGATTTATTGTCTCTTTTGTTCATGAATTTGTTTCTTTGAACTAATTAGTGGGATGGCGTTTAGGTTTATAGTTGCATGTCCCTTTTCCTGCTGACACCATGATTATTTTTCTCCAGCAAATATTGAGGGGCTGTTATGTATGCGTAAAGCTTTGTTTTAGCTGTGGGGAATACAAATTGAAAAATTAGCAGTTCTGCCTGAGCTTACGCTCGTCTGGGTGGCAGAGCTGTGCGCAAGGAATTCAAGCGGGAGTGAGCCAGAGCAGAGTGAGTCGTGTGCAGGATTAGCCTTCTCGAAGTCCCAAATGCCACATGTGTCCTGCTGTAGGATCTGCTTCAGAGCCCTGTGGCAGTGGTAGAGGCTAGGCCCTCGGTGCGCAGCCCAGGGGGCTCTCCTTGCCATTCCCTGAGCCTCACTCCCAGGCAGGCCAGACTCTCAGCACTTGCTGGCGACACCGTCGTGGGGACTTCCTCGCCTCCTCTCGCTCCCGCCGCTCCAGCTCCTAGTCCTGCTTCTCGGGAGGTCGGGGTGTTCTTCGTGTGCACATCTGTTTGTGTGTGTCTACCCAGACAACCAGGGATGTGGCTGTCTAGTCTCTCAAAATATTTTTTTACGATTTTGTATTGCACTGTTTTCCATTAATAACACACATATTTATTTATGTTTTTAAAAAACTCTGTATAAATATTCTTTTTAATGGCTATGAATATGGTACTTGGTACTTTTTTTCATTTTTTAAACACTGGACACAACACTGACTGTGAGTGAAGTGTACATGAATTCATTATCATCTCAGAAAATTCACACATGGTGTGTTTATTTCAGATTCTTCCGTAGATGTTCTCATATTTGATTTATAGGATTATAATTTTCTACAAATTCCGGGTATTGGGTTATGGACTACAGTCATTCTCAAATGTCTTTTGTCCTCTCCCTCCGTACCTCGGGCCTGGTCCTTTCCTCCTCAGCCCAGTGAACGAGGCAGCATTTTCATCTTACCAGTGAGGAAGGCGCCGCACGGGGGTTGAAGTAATTTCCCCCAGTTATGAAATGAGGCAGTGTAGGAATTAGATTTGAGCGCAGATTTTCTGACTTCAGACCGACTGCCCCTTCTCCCGCCGCGCCCCTGGTCTGAGGTGACGGTGACTCTGCCCGCAGGAGAGAGCAATGAGGTGTACCCACCAGAGCCTGGAGCCAGGAGCACGTCCAGAAGCGCGGAAGTGGGAGACCCTGTAGGGCCGCCAGAGCAGGCTTCTACTCTGGGTCTTCTACTGCCTTCCATGAAGGTGTCTCTTGGCCATTCAGTAACTAAATTCCACTGGCCTGTTTGGAAAGTGGAGCTGTCTTAGGCTGAATGCTGTCACACGATACCAGTGATCTCTAATGAGGACTGTTGGCCAGAACGTGGTACAGTGTTGTCCTTTCCCTTCGGTAAATTCTAGTTACAGGAACTGTGGTAGGTGTAGAGGTGTTTATAGTTGTAAATACTCCTATTTAAGATGTAGGTACTTCTGGAGACTTTGAGCGTTATTGAAGAAAGGGAACCTAAAGCTCTGTGTTTGCCTTCCAGCGGCTAGCAAGTCCTGTGCCATTATGTCCACGCACATCGTGGCCTGCCTGCTCCTCTACAGACACAGGCAGGTATGTCTGCGGCGTCCCCTGCGCTCGGGGGGAAGCGTGTGGTTGCCGTATCAGCTTTCAGAGCTTGTTCGCGAGTGGACATGGCCTAGTCCTGCTTGTGCTTCTGAGATGAGCAGTAACATAAGCCAAGCACCTAGCCCACGGGGGCTTCCAGATCCGACGGAGGAAGACGTCTACGTGAAAAAAACTCCGAGACTGCGTAACGTAGACAGCAGTAGGACATTTGAGTATATAGTTCACGTAAATAAGGCCTATTGCGTTGACGTGCCGTAAGTGTTCTGACAGCTGATGACAGCTGTTTGACTTATATTTAGGGCCACGTTCCCTTCATGCACTTGTCTAAGTGCTGTGATGGAAAAGACCACATCTGTGCCATTCACAGTCATGTTCTCAACACCAAACATAGTGCCTACGTGTGTGTGTGTGTGTGTGTGTATACACACATATATATACATACATGTATGTACAGACACACACATGTGTAAGCACCAACTAAGTAGTTGTCAGATAAATATTTAAATATTTAAAATGAGGGAAATTGGGGCGCCAACTAGGTGGCTCAGTCGGTTAAGTGTCTGCCTTTGGTTCAGGTCATGATCACAGGGGTCCTGGGATTGAGCCCCACATCGGACTCCCAGCTCAGCGGGGAGTCAGCTTCTCCCTCTCCCTGCTTGTGCTCTCTAGCTCTCTCTCTCGAATAAATAAATAAAATTGTTAAAAAAAATAAATAAAACGAGGGGAATTACTGCTTAAAACTTAAGCACTTCTTTTAGATGGCTTCTTCTGCCCTTTGTGATCTTACATGCTCCTGTCATGTGTTGTGACCAGAGCATTCTCTCTGGGTGTGAATATCTTGACCTTCTGGAGGACCAGCTTTTTCACCAGTTTTCTGACATCCTGTGTCCTAATATTCTGGCCCTTTTTCTCTCTGTGCCAACAGCAGGCTGCAGGAAAGCCAAGGCAAGACATAAAATCCTCAGAATGCCTCTTGGCCTTTTGGGAGGTAGGTTTTCCACTGTTACGAGACCATTTCTGTCTGTTTCTCCAGGGCATTGATCTCTCCACATTGGTGGAGGACTTCTTTGTGATGAAGGAGGAAGTCCTGGCTCGTGATTTTGACCTGGGCTTCTCAGGAAACTCTGAAGATGTAGTCATGCATGCCATACAGCTGCTGGGAAATTGTGTCACGATCACCCACACCAGCAGGAACGATGAGTTTTTTATTACCCCCAGCACAACTGTCCCATCAGTCTTTGAACTCAACTTCTACAGCAATGGCGTGCTCCATGTCTTCATCATGGAGGCCATCATAGGTACGGCCTGCCCTGAAGTAGCTTCGTGGGAGGGAAAAGAGCCTAAAGCACATGGTGGTGTCTGTTGATTTAGATCGTAGCCCATTGTTGGAGGGGATGTGTTGCTATATTTTTAGTTTTCAAATAAAAATGTAATCCGCTATATCACTGTAGCTTATTTTTTACATTTAGTAATCAATGAGTAGTTACTGAATTACCGTTTGCATAGTATTACACTTATTACTGAGGAGGAGAAGGGAAGGTGTTCGGCTATCAGGAGCTGGAAATCTGAGTGAGACGAGAAAGTGCACATGGCAGTAAAGTGAGTGTAGGGTATGAAGAGGGAACAGAGGAGAAGGAGAGCAGGAGGGACCGAAGCCCCTGAGGGGAGGGCTTAGATGGAGTTAGGATCACATGGAATCATGAGGAGTGAATCCTGAAGAGATTTAGTTACATTTTTCTCCAGTGAATGCAGGTAATTCTTTTTGATGTGTTCACAATCTATTAAGGTAATCCAAGTTTTCTGAGCCAGTTGAAGTTTTTCTTGGAGCTGTAAGGCGGCCGGCCTCAGTGATGCTTTTCTCTCCTTAGCCTGCAGCCTTTATGCAGTTCTGAACAAGAGGGGCTCAGGAGGGCCTGCGGGGCCGTCCCCCAGCTTGATCAGCCAGGAACAGCTGGTGCGGAAGGCCTCCAGCCTGTGCTACCTGCTCTCAAACGAAGGCACCGTATCGCTCGTAAGTGGGCTCTTTAGTGCCGCCTGTTGTCTTTCTCTAGAGAATTTTTATGAAAACATAAGCCACCTTTGTTTTTCTCTCAGGGAATGTTTGGTCTGTTACTGAAGCTTTACATTCTACTCCTGAGTCTCAGTGACTCTCAGGCCAATATGTTGTTTGCTAACTTTGTTTGCTATTGGGGTCACTGCTCCAGTGAACCCTTGATGTAGTTATGAGGCGTGATAGGACAGATTGCTCAACATTCTCCACGAGTCAGAGCCAAAGTTACTGAGCTCTTATTGTACATAAGGCACTGGGTCAGAGGCTTGTAAATAATTAATATGCCCAGAACGTAAGAGCCAAAAACAATCTTAAAAATCATCTCTTCAGGGCGCCTGGGTGGCTCAGTTGGTTAAGCGACTGCCTTCGGCTCAGGTCATGATCCTGGAGTCCCTGGATCGAGTCCCGCATCGGGCTCCCTGCT